TTGAACATTGTTGGAAGTTTGTCGTAAAGAAAGTTAGGAGAGTTGATTTTATGTGTGTAATTTCTATACAATCATTATTACATATTTTAAGTTATAACAATATAAGTTATAACGTTATTTCAATTTATCGAGTTTTCATATTAAATGTAACAACGATACGAAAATGATGTAGGGTACAAATGTCCAAAATTTATTTAATCCAAATCCATAATTTATTATATCCAAAATTAATTTATTTTGTATTGTTAAAAAAACGTTAGGGTGGAGGGTGGAGGGGGAGGGGGTAAAATCAGACGAAGTAGCGCGATTTTATCTACAGGGTGTTTCATTTGAAGCGGGATGATTCAATATCTCACGAGGGAATGAAGCTATCAAAAAAATGTTTTTACAAAGGTTAGTTGAATCAAATAGATAAATTATATGGCGTAAATAATTTTGTTACGAGTAAAGCAGTAGGGTAGATTTGAAAAACATATCGATTTTTTTAAAGGGAACTCAGGTATCCTAGCGAATGGTAGCCACATTGAACATGACATGTAGACATACCGATGATACCGGTAACTACAGTACGACGAGCAGGTATAGTAATCTTATGTTCTTGACCTTGAATGGGTCACAAGGTCATAACCTTAAATGAAACACAACGTTGTATTCGTTTTGACACGCACTGTCATACATGATATAAACAAAATATATACCATTTCATTTAAAAAACTAAAGGTCACCTTCATTTCTCAGAAAACAGTACAAATACGAAAGATTTATATACCAGATAACGCTGGCTAGTAACAGCCTGAATATATAATAGATAATTGCTTCGTTAGTTCGCAACATTATCAGAAATTTTACCGATAAAACTTTTCCAAAAGATAAATATAAGAATATGTATATATATGTATATATAAGTTTGGTCGTCAAAATTCTGATATATTGCGAACTAATGAAGCAAATTATTGCATCAACAAAGTAAATAACATGTAGCAGCGATAGACGGTGAAAGAAGCAAAAATCGAAAAATAAAAAAAAAAAACCAACATTTATGATTGATTGAACCGTCGTTATCTGAAACGAAAGAATATTCTCGTTTTCATACCTTATCGCGTTTGCATGCGGTTTGTTTGTCTCGTTTACATGTGCAATTATTCGTGGTGCGAGAAAATTTGTAACCACGCGACCGATAACATAAGAAAAACTATTTATGTATTTTCTATTTTAGAATTGCATTGAAATCGATTACTTAACTATCGTACTATCTCAAGAATTTTAGGACACTATAAGTACGTTATTCGAAATTATTTCTCGGCAATCAAAAGAAAATAAAGTATGACGAAATGAATACGAAATTAAATGAAATAATGTAGAATTAAAAGAAATTAATAGATCAACGATAAGAAAATAAGAAAAATAAGATAAAGAAATAGGAAGAAACCAATTTAAAAAAAAAAAAAAAAAAAAAAATGTAAACTTACACTTAAGTAATGTGTGTTGTATTCTTTCTTGGTCAACGTATAAAGAAGAATCGAATCACTGCTGTTTTTACATTTATTTATAGGGAGATAAATGTATAAATATTTTGCTTTCAGACCAATCCAAATATATTTATTAACTCAACAAAACTACGTTTCGATTTATATTATTTTTAATAATAAATCGGTATCAGCATCAATATAAAGTACACAGTTTATTAATAATGAAAAATGCAATACTTCTATCAGACTGTTGATGATAAAATGATTGAAATTAATTGAAAATCAGAATCACAAAATTGTAATACAAAATTATTAGAGACGATTGCATCATAATATTCCACGACACGGTAGCAACAAGTTTGCTGATAAATTAAAATTAATTAAAAAGAAAAAGAAAAGTGAAACAAAATTACACGAAATTGCCAGAAACGATTGCGTCACAATAATTTTTAACACATCATGTGAAGAGCGTTATCACACTTGAAAGAATTAAAAAAAGAAAACCTGAAAAGTTATCAAAGTGAAAGTGAACACAGTAAAAGAAGTAATTAATATAAATTAATTGTCATTGATGAAAATAAAGCGAAACTAAAATAAAAAACAGACTTGATGATAAAATAACTAAAGATGAAATAAACCTAGGTTTCGTTAAATTTCGTTTATTATTAAAGAAGGTAGAATTTTATTATTTTAAATTATTATTTAGATCTATTAAAATTTGTTATTAATTTATTAGGTGTAGAAATTAATTCCCTGCGTTCACATTTTATTATTTATGACTCTTGTTTAAACAGAAATATATGCCCACCATATATTTTACATTAAAGTATCAACCTTCGTAGGAACGAATCACCCAGATTGCTTTGACATTTGGTATTAATATATGCTCTTTTAAAATATGGAATTGAGGAAAAATTAAAAATTGTATCTTTTTTCTATTTAAATAAACAGTAAGTTTGGAAAAGCACAGAATTAATTTCTACATCAAATACGTAAGGGTTTACTTAATTTTTTGTGTGCAAACAGAAGTGTCCTTCGAAAGTTATTTAAATTATGTGAAATAAATTTAGCAAATAACAAAAGGTATAAGATGTAACTATTACTTATCATCCATTAGCCAAATTCAAATTTTTTTTTATTTATTTTATACTATTCAAAATTCATTAAAAATAAGGAGTTTGAAATTTAGAAAAAAAAAAATAGAAGAGAATGAAAATGTATACCTGCACGAGTACAAAATTGACTGACATTCTCGAGCGAAATTTTTCAAAGACGAGCGCGCGTTACGTTATTTTTGCTAATGATCGAAACGAAAGAAATTTTTGTATGCGACGCGAGGAATTGTTTGTTACAAAGATGAGCTATTCGTTCGCTATCTTCTGGCTTGTTTGTTACATTTGAAAAATTGCACGTTGATATAATTCCTCCTGGTACTTTCTTTGTACCCCCCAGGAATATAAAAATACAGTCAGGCCAGTTAAGAGATAAACAAAATGATAACCTTTGCGCATATATGCAGCCACCTGAAAGTTCAAGACCTATTATCGTTGCTGTATCTTTCGGCGCGCGAAGATATTCATGACCCTCGGCATTTTGTTTTCACATAAAAATGTAATAACGACCCAACTTAATTGAGAAATAATATTCAATAACAAAACCACCGATTTTTACTAGTAACGATACGCTAAACGATTTTCCTCTATTATTTGCGTAACCCCAAGTACCTTATCTATCCTATGCAACAGTGAATAAAATTTCTTTAATCGCCCGTATACAATTTTTCTACGTATTTCCAATATCATGTTCGTTTCTCGAGAATTTTCATCGCGCAACGGTACAATGACCTACTGAAATTCATCGATATCGACTTTAAATTTATTTATCTTATTTTTTCGAACTGTAAGGTCAACTTTCATGTGCAACCAGCTCAAAATTTCCTGTTGTATTCTTTCTAAACTTTCTCCGTGATTCTTTCGCGAATTTTCAAACAACTTCTTTTTAAGTTTTTCGGAAAACTTTGTTTCAGTTTTTTTTTTTTTTTTTTTTTTTTGAAGGATTATTGCATAGCACTTGTAATTCCACTTGTATCATTACTCGAAACTGTTTGAAATGTTTCTTTAAACATTCTTGAGCTTTAATTAATCATTCTTCGACGCATTAAAAAAAAAAAAAAAAAACCATTTTATTTAAACTTCGTTTTTAATCCTTCTCTAATTTACTTTAAACATCATTCGAACTTTTTTTTCATAGTTAATTCTTTTTTATATCGGTGCATACATTTACAACGAAATAGTGTTATTAATCGATTCTCGAAGAAGGAACAACCTCGTCACGAACACCATTCGAATGGTGTACCCAAATTATCAACTTTAGAGCGACTCTCAACTGTCACGAAATATATTCTTTATTCTCTTAAATATGTAGATAAGTAATTGCGACCCTCATAAAATGTAATTTACATACATTATTGAAATCGGAACCGCTTATCACAAAATTATTTTGACGACTTCCAAAGATTAACCGGGAAACGTCTTGCGTCTGTATTAAAGTTTTAAGGTAGTTATCATCGCTTAGCAGTATTTCTATATTGAACTTTTTTTTGATATAGAAAAAAACCAATACATAGAATTCGAATGGGACATCCCATGGGATACTATGAAACAATTAATACGGAGAAGGTTAAATAAAATATTCTGTATTAGAATGTTGCTGTATTAATAATTGTTTTTCAAAGTATGACGTATTACGATATTATGAATATTTGATATTTAGTATTGCAAATTGTTTTCTGGTTAAATAAATACCGCATACTTATATGTACGTATATCCATAGTTAGGATATCATACATTCAAATATTATGAATTATATATATTATATATTAAATATATTAAAAAGACCAATTGAATAAATATTACATACTTGTGTATGTACATAGTTAGAATATTACATATGTGCCGTGACGATGTGTTCCCTAACGATCTATATTAGAATGCAGTAATATCAAAATTATTTTAATCTGTTTAAGTAGATTTTTTATTGCAAAATTCATTAAAATAAATTGGCCGAGTTTTGCCAAATATACCAGTAATTTATACATGCAAATCGTTCGCTCTTGGCGACAGTCTTGCTTAAAAATCGAAGAAAGGTTCGATTGCGAACATGCATGTCATGCATACATATATAAATTCGAATAAAATTAATGCTGAAATTGTCGACCCGAACGCACTCCCTGCAACCTGATTTTCTTTCTATACTTTCTAAACAACGGTACAATTAATCCGTAACGGAAATCGTTATTTCAACGAACATTTTCAATTTTGGGCAATGATCGTCGTAAAAAAATTAGAACATACGAGCAAAAACATTGATTTTCCGCGATAATTTTAGGGGAAACCAGCAAATTTATATTTTCATCGTAAAAAATTAAACGAAGCCTTACGTGCAGCCATCACGATGCCTGATCTATTCCCCGATGATACGTATAATTGGTTAACCTTCGATCGTCGAACACATTTGAAACAGCAAGGGATATCGCGGTTAGACTGCGAAATCTTGAGGGAGGTAGGTCGACAGGTCGCCGATAACTGCCTGCCTCGATAGGATTCGGGTATAAAAGCCTGGACGAACAGACAGTAAGCATCACATTGTATCATTCGATCACAATGAGGTTCCTAGTTGTCCTGTTGTCCCTCGCGGCCTTCGCGGCCTCCAGCAGCGTAAACAGCAACAGACACGCTGGTAAGTCCATTTTTCTAACTTCTATTCTGGAACTTCCGAACGTCTCGAAATAATACCACGGAACCGATTGCCATTTCTCGTTTCTCGTACGCTAACAAGCCTGGTATTCCAACTTTCATTTGGAATTTTCTCAACATTTGCAAATAATACTTTCGAAGCAATCGCCATTCGATACGCACGAGGTCACAAATTGCCTCTGTTTGCCCTCGGAATCCAAGGAATAACTGTGCTACATAAACGAAAAAGGAACGTCACATACGAACAAACTCTCGATTGTGAAACTGCTCCATTCACGGTCCAACGAGCTTAAAACTCCACAGTTTAGGTGTTCAAAGACGATCTTTCGTTCGCTTCAGCTGACCAAAATCTCTTGGTGAAACAACAAGAAGTCATCCAGCTTCTGCAGAAGATCACACAGGACATCCCGAATCCGCAACTCCAGGCCCTCGGCGAGAACTATGACATCGAAAGCAACGCCCAGCAGTACGACAACCCGATGGTTGTTAAGTACTACGCTGGTGCCGTGAAGGCTGGCTTGGTTCAGCCTCAGGGCACAGCGTTCAGCAACTCCAACAGTCAGCTGCGCAAAGAAGTCGCTCTTCTTAACAGAATCCTGACTGGAGCCAAGGATTACCCGACCTTCCTGAAGACAGCTGCATGGGCTCGCGTTCATGTCAACGAGGCACAATTCGTGAAGGTATGACAGCAGAACTTTGTACATCGTAATCGCACGGGATCGATTCCTTCCGTCAAAAGGAACCAAAAAGTCCTTTATTGGATTGGAAGTCTGGTTACCAAGATATACGCAGTTGAAGTTTCCTGGTGCTACTAGAAATTTCAACTGCTAGTATCTCAAGAACAATGCCTCGGTTTGGAAAACGGAAAAGGACTTTTCAATTCTTACTGTTTCGAGGAATCGACCTAGAGATTTCAAACTGCATACTACCGCATACCACGTTTCTTATATAAACCTGTAGTCGTACAACTTGTTAAGAATCGTCAGAATCGTCCTCTATAAAATTCTTCTTTTTACTCGATTTACAGGCCTTCATCGCCGCAGTCCTGATGCGCGACGACACCCAAGGTATTATTCTTCCACCATCCTACGAGATCTGGCCTCAGCTTCACCTGGACGCCAGAATCATCCAGGAAGCCCAGGTCGCTAGCGCCCAAGGAATCCAGAGAGGCATCCAGAACATCGTGATCCCCGTCAACTACTCTGCACTGATGTCTCCCGAAGAACAACAGCTTTCTTACTTCACCCAAGACGTAGGCCTCGCTTCCTGGTACGGTTATCTTAACCTCGCTGGATACATCTCTGAAGAAGTAAGCAACTCCACAAACAATTAAACATCTTCTCGTCTGTGATACTCCGGATTTTCGCGATGTAATTAATACTCCTTTCGAAGCAGGATCAACAAGGATCTCAGCAGCATCAACAGCAGCAGCAGCCCCTGACATCGCAACAATATCAACAACAGATCGTCGGCAAATACCTGAACCAAGCCGGACAGAACCAGCAAGGCAGCATCGGTCACGGAGGCCAATACTTGCACCTCCACCAACAACTCTTGGCTCTCTACGAACTCAACCGTCTCTCCAACGGACTCAGTCCCATCGATGAGATCGACTTCACCAACGTGCAGACTCCCTACCAACCACACCTTCGTAACCTGAACGGTCTCGAATTCCCAGGCCGCCCAGAGAACCTTCAGCTCGATGAAGAGGATGAGGAACTCGTCGAGGTCGTCCAGACCCTGGAACAAAGACTGAAGGAAGCCATCGACTCCGGCCATGTCATCACACCTCAAGGCGTTTTCCTGTCCCTCTACCAACCACAAGGTGTCAACATTCTCGGTGACCTGATCGAAGGAAGCGGCAAGAGCGTCAACCCCAGGTCAGCTTTCGGTTAAAGAAATCCAATTCGCCAACCTGTCGATCGAGACTAACAAGATTTATTTTTTTGTCTGAATACAGGTATTACGGAAGCCTCCAAGCAGTGGCTCGCAAACTCCTCGGCAATGCCCCCGACGCACAAAACATCTGGGACTACACTCCATCGGTCCTCGAACTCGGCCAGACCGCCGTCCACGATCCTGCTTTCTACCAACTCGCCCAGAAAATCGTCAACTTGTGGCGCAAATACCAGAAATCCCTGCCAGCCTACCAAGTCAACGACCTCATCCTTCCCGGTGTTACCATCCAGAACGTTGAGATCAGCCAGCTCGTCACACTCTTCACCGACTTCGTTATCGACCTCGACGCCGTCACCGCCCAGCCAAGCCAATCCCAGCAACAACAACAGCAGCAACAACAGCAACTTCAACAACAAGTACACGCTCATCTGAAGAGATTGGACCACAAACCGTACACCTACCAGATCACCGTTCAGAGCGAACAGAGCGTTCCCAACGCAGTCGTCCGTGTCTTCCTTGGACCTAAACACGATTACCAGGGCAAACCCATCAGCATCTCCCAGAACAGGCACCTCTTCGTCCAACTCGACCAATTCATCCACAACCGTGAGCATCGCGACTCGCCTTCCAATCGTCTATATTCGAACAATTTGCCTAAAACGTCCTGTTTCCTCTGTTCACAGTCCAACAGGGCCAGAATCTCATCAACAGGAACTCCCAACAGGCCCCAGGTCAAAGCTTCGACTGGCCATCCGTTCAAACCATCCAACAAGGTGTCAACAGCGCCATCAGCTCCCAGGAACCGTTCTACATCACCGAGGTGAATGCATATCCTGGTTCGAGTTTCCCTAGAGACGAGATCAGTCATGTAACTAAGTTATTTATTTGCAGCCACACCAAATCTTCAGCTTGCCCGCTAGATTGGCCCTTCCCAAAGGTCAGCCGCAAGGTTTCCCTCTGCAGCTGCTCGTCGTGATCACAGGACCTGGCCAACTCAACGTTCCCCACGGACCAGTCATCCCACAAGAGACTCTGACCTACCAGCCACAGCAATACCAGATCGTCAACGCTGAACAATACGAACAGCTGAAACAACAACAGAACCAACTTGCCCAATTATCCGGCATCCAGCAAAACGTTGAGGTTCTCCCTGAAAACTGGGAATGGTCTCAACAGCAAATCGAAGGTACGTGTGTCCAAGATCGACGCAAAAGTTCGTCGTTAAGAATCACCGAGCATAAACGTAATTTCGTTATCGCAGGCGTGAGGAACCACTATGCCAACGTTTACACCAAATACCACGGACAATACCCGCACACGCAGATCCAGAACCCAGTCGGTCAAGGACAAGACATGACTTACACCATCCAGGGAATCGGCTCTCAGCTCCAGCAGCAACTGAACTTGCAGGCACAGATCCAGGCACAGATGCAACAGGGCCAGATCCCAAGGATCCAAACCGTTGGCGGACAACAGGGAGGACAAGCCGGTAGCCCACTCCAACAGATCTACGGACAGAAATGGACGTCGGCGCAGTCACTGAAATGGCAACAACAAGTCTCCCAAGGACAACAAGGCATCCAGGGCTTGCAAGGACTTCAGGGCGTCCAACAGGGCGTGCAAGGTCTGCAAGGTATCCAAGGAGTACAAGGCGTTCAAGGAGTCCAAGGATTGCAACAAGGAGTATTAGGAGGAATCCAGGGAGGACAAGGTGGACAAGGTGGACAAGGCGTCCAAGGTGTCCAAGGTGTACAGCATGGAGTACAAGGTCTCCAAGGTGTACAGCAAGGAGTACAAGGACTGTCTGGCAGCCAACAAGGCGTACAAGGTCTTCAAGGTAGTGGTAGCGGCGTACAAGGAATCTACGGTGCTCAGGGCGTAGGACAGAACATGGGAGGTCTCCAAGGCCAACAGAACGTCGAAATCCCATACGGCATGCAAGGTGCCCACTCCGTTTGGCAAGGAATCCAAGGCTCCCAAATCCAGAACCAGATGAACCGGATGAGCCAGATCTCCGACGGACAACAACACGCTGGTGGCTTCCAGGGCATCTACGCTCAACCCCAGACCGTCCAGGACCAGGCTGTCAACGACTATTACCAGAACAAGCCCATCAGCGAGATCATCGGTGGCGCCATCTCTCTCGACGGCAAACCTCTGGGATTCCCGCTCGACAGACCGCTGACACCTGGCGCCCTCGGCGTTGCCAACATCTACGTGAAGGATGTACTCATCTACCACGAGGGACAACCCACCAACGACATCACCCAGTAAACATCCCTACGTTGTCGGCGCGCGTATTTGTCAGTAGACGCGCGCCATACTCGTAAAACAGACTTAGCGCGCAGAAAATGTTGTATAGTTAATGCACCCAGAAAAACAAAAAACATTTTATCAATGTATCATTTATAATGAATAAATTGCTTTAAAGAGCAACTGTTTATTATAAGATCCGTCTCTTCTGTCTCTTTACCTCGTATCGGGGTTTCGGGGATTACACGGTGGGCTGTTGATATTAGGAATTTTCTAAAAATTAATACTTGACATCTAAGTATATAGTATAAGTTCATATCAATAAATAGTACAATGAAATACAATTTTACAAATATCGATAATGAACACAGTGAAACGAAATAAACTTTTATGAATGTATTCATTACTATAGTAACAACGAACAACGTAAACGAAAGTAAACTTTTACGAATTATTAACAGTGGACAAAGCTACATAAAATAAAGTTTTACGGTTACTAATAGCGAACGAAGTAAAGTAAAAGTTTGATTTTTAGCAACGCTAATACTTTACTTTACACGAGTGCATTCTTCTATGTTTTTCATCCTTGTATACATATGCTTAGAAATCATAGTGTAACAAATGCTGACGATTTATATTCCCTAAACGTGTGCTCAAGTAATGGAGGAATCATCGGACGATCGAAAGGTAGAAGGTTTAAACAATCATTTTATTAAACAAATTTCGAACCAGGCGACGCTGCTTCGAATATTAAAACAATGTTTCACGATCGAGTCCTCTGTCAGTTGCCTCAAACCCGTCATCACTCTCCAGTCATCATCTCCATAAATTCTAAAAGGAAAAGTACAGGAAATGTACAAGAAAACAGTGCATTTCTGTGTCAGAGAAACGTTCCAAAGTATAGCTTTGCAAAAATCTCAAAACTCAATAGAGAGCTATATCGGTTGTTATACTTTCATAAAAGAAGGGATTATTTTCGTTTAAAAATGACGTAAGTGGAATCGTCATTGGCTCTTACGTTACAACTTAAATTTTAAACAACTGACTCGAAACAACTGCCTTAAGAAAACGTAAATAAAAAAAAAAAATCGAAAATTTCAGAATTTCTGACTGGGCAGACCCCCTTAACATCTTCATTAAAAAAAAAAAAAACACATACACGCAATCAAGAAACACTTGAATTTGATTAAATAAATACTATTTATGTGACCAATACTTTCAAAACGTAGCACGATAAGCTGAAAATAAAATTGCGAAGGATACGCACCGTCGAAGTCGACCGTGCCCGAGCCATCGGTATCGATTTCAGCTATTATACCATCGAGATCCGCGCTGGTCAATTTGTCATCGAGAGCAGCGAGGATCTCCTTCAAGGTGGCCGTCGTGATGTAACCGTTTCCCTCGCGGTCGTACAAGCGGAAGGCTTCCTTCAGCTCCTCTTGCATGGCTTCCGCGTCCTCCTCTTCCAGGAATCGGCCAGCGATTCTGCAGAACCCGTCAAAGTTCACTTTGCCCGTCCGTTCGGGATCGTTCTCCTCGATAATGGAGTTCAATTCCGCGTCATCGAACAGCTGACCCATCGTGTTCAATATCGTCGAGATCTTCAACGTGTCGATGAATCCGCTCTTCGTCGTGTCGAACATCTGAAACGCTTTCCGCATCACGGCCGTCTTTTGTTCGTCTTCCTCCTGCGAACCATCCAGTTCAAAGCTGTATCACTCAGAATAACGTGCTCCAGGTCTCTCAATCTTGACAAAATTAACAGTAGCACTAGAGATATCATTGTGTTCAAACGAGGGTTAATGTTCATCGGGTCCCAATAGCAATTTGTCTAGGATATTTAGAATTAGTATCTGACCGTTAAAAGTTCGGAAAGATTCCACGCTGCGAGCTCTTAACATAGGAGAGACATGATCGAGCTGGGATAAGTCCTCGACGTGTAGGCAAAATCAAATTCTTAAGAAATAAATAAATAAACGTTTATACGCTATATATTTAACTTAAACAATGCTTGGTCTGCTATTTTGATTGTACGATCAATATTTATTATCAATTGCGTCGATGTATAAAAATTTATAGATGGTTCTTGATAATCAATAAATACTTGTTCCTAATTTGAAGAAAATTTGTAGAACGCTTACAAGATATTCTCGGGTAATATTACATAATAATTAAATGTAATTAAAAATATCTCTCATTTCGAGACGTCAAAGCGCACCAAAACTCCTCAGACAACTGTTCACTAATTTTGCAACATTTTCTCTTGCATTTAACATTCAAAGTAAGTCTTCGTGTACTTTTTCAACATCAAGAAGCCAATAAGAGCCAAGAACGTTAAGAAGTCTTTTTGTTATAAATATTAGTAAAGAACAAAGTAAAATGAAATAAATTTGTACGAATATCAATAATGAACAAATTAAAATAAAAATTTGATATCACTTTAAATATCTTACTGACAGAATAGATTGACCAGCACTACATCGATACATAAAAATTTGTCGACGCTCGTCGTTAGTCGACGAACCCGTGTACCAAATACGAAAACAATCGATCGATCGGTTCTTCTGTAATAAATTTCCAAAGGTACCCCTTATACCGAGTCATTGACTCGCAACAACTCGCATGACTCACACCGTACAACGCGCGGCATATTAATCACGACTTTCCGCGCGGCCTGTTCGCGAACCCGTCAATCGATCACTTCAATCGATCAATATCACTTTGGATAGTTCTTGGACGCATCGATCGATCACTATCGTCGCGTCGATTGGGATCACCTCGACTAACTTCTACGGGTGGAATATCGAAAATTTCCCGCGAAATGGAATCGTGTCTCCGATAACGCGAACTTAAGATCGGGAATCGATTAGTATCGAGTGTCTCCGCAACTCTTACCATGGCGACGGTTTTTTCTCTCACGACGGACGACAGACACCTGAAGTGCCGCGGCTTTTCCGTCGCGGTATAAAGACATCCTCCGCGTCTGGTAAACCAGCTAGAAAACCGGTGGGCGCAAAAATAGAGCGGTTAGACGAAAAATGAAATATGTTATAAGTGGGTCCCTCCGTAAAGTCGGAAGGCCGTCGGTAAATCATACGAGAATCGCGTCGAGACTCTTTGATGACCGCTCGTTGATTTCGATTAACGTACAATAGCGTCATCGAATGTTTTTGACACCGTGAAACGAGGTTACTTTTGCAAATTATTGGTAAAGTTATCGATCGTAACCTTACTTTCTTCGCATGTCGAAGATAAATCCACTTAACATGGTATGAGAGAATAAAGAAATCAGATTACCTAACCTAAGTTTACTTATTGTATATTAGTAATGTGTTATTATATAGAACGCCTGAAAGAAAACGCTAAACATAAATTGCTTGTTACATTTAGAAAGTAAATTCGTTGGACTTTTTTGTTTACCAAGTCGTCGGTGAAGCGAGTTCGTTCGTTTGCGTTAATTGAAGGTAAACAGAAGTGGAGATGATTCATTACGCTTTATCAAAGAAAAATTCGTCGTAATATCAAGGGATTATTATAATGTGTAATCCTTTAAGACTGACAGTGTCAAATTATTCATTAATCGGTATTATCGATAATTCGTTAATCACGAATCATCGATCGTGATTATTATTGATGGCAAATGAAAATATAGGGGAAATCAATGAGAATGTGCATAAATGCAAAAATATTTAAAATATCAGCAATAATATACAGATTATACAGTTTTGGAGATAAAACACCTTTTTAATTTCAATTTCAATTTTTCTTTCTGCATCGGTAAAAATAATAATTTGCATAAACATCCGCAGTGACTATTAATGTTTTACAAATGTACTACGGATTTTATGCACTTATGGTATAAGCCGATGTGACAAATACATGCTAAACATAACCAAAAGATATGTGCATTTATGCAAAACGATATATGAAATTATTATATTAATTAATAGTTTATAGTATAATAGTTTGCACCGTAAGTGCATATAAACCGCATTTTATTATACACTCATTAACAGTAAACATTATTGAGAATCACAGATCTTTAATCGCATCATTATTAATCTATAATCGCGATAACTGATGTTTCATTAATAATTAATCACGCTTAGCGATCGTTCACCGTGCAATTATAGTAATGAATATAAATATATTTCGTCTGCAACAGCGATCCATAAAAATCGTTGTGCTCGTACCACGCCGCGCGCGATCCATCCATAATAATAAATCCATCCATCGTTCGCGCAAATGGTTATAAATCCGTTGCACGATAACAACGCGAATCTGCGCGCAATATTCGGACACATCGCCGTTCTTAGATCATCCGCCCACGCGTTGCAAGCCATTACAACACGTTCTACCTGGCTTGCGGGATCGGTAAAAATATAACGAGTCCTCGGACTCTTTGAGAACGATTCATCAACAAATCACGCGTTTTCCAGACAGGAGAAAATAGGTCGGAGGCCGTTTTCCAACACTGAGTTTTACAACCAAGCTGTTCAGACATGATCAATCAACGACACAAGCCAATCACTTATTACGTGATAGTTTAACATCATGAACAATGAAAGAATGCCCGTAGCAATGCCGTGTACATGTAAATCATATTTTCAATGTGACGATAAGTGAGAGACTGACCGATGGACAGGTGTTATTTGTCTTAACCTCTCTTTCGAGTCCTTACACATTGATTATTCTTTTGTCTTGCAGAGTATGCCTGAAAGAAATTGTTCTTGAAATTTATTTATGATTCGAGTATTGCTTAACTCTGGACTCTGTGATACAGTATACTGTCCAAGGAATAAATTGTTTCGACAAAAGAGGTTAAACATTATAATCGGTATTCTTGTCAAGGTCGTGCTGTTCGAGCCCCTGAGGTTATGGACGAGATACAAGTAGTTTCTGAAGCATTTATTCGGAACGTTACACCTCCCTACACGAATTCTTCCACTCAAGATCATTTGAAAGTCATTCTATTATACTAGAGTTCCCAGGAAAATATTGCTCATTTTGAAATGTTCGTACATCATCAGTCGATACGTGGAACAACGTAGTTTCAACTATAGTCATGTATGTATAGTTATTTACTATCTAACTTTAGGGTAATAACCTTAACAATGAAAATTTGTTAAAATTAATATTAATACATGTATCTTATCTCGACAGATTTAAAGATAAACGTGGGAGGAATAAAAAAACAATATTAGTGAAATGACGAATATTTTCTGGAATAAGGTAGGAGGTAAGAAGTAAGGGTTTTTATAAAAACACAATTTTCAAAGGAATATGATCTTAAAACAAATAACCTGCCAATCGTAACGAGTAACGTGTTCAACTAAAATTTGCTACACCGTCGGGAGGGATAGAAATGTTTTCGATGATGATGTTTGTTTGTTATATGTTCCGTATGCGCGAAAATATTCGCGCAGAGACACATCGCGCTCGTAAAGTTCCTAACCTCAAAGGATGAGCCGGCAAGCCTCGAATAACCGGTGTCTATAAATAATGTTGAACGATCAATCATCCGCGACGGTTTTTGTTTTTGGCTTCATAGAGATCGCGAAAGCGTTTGTATTTGTCCCGTTTTCATTCAGACGATCTTTATTCCTAGACGACGGGGACGCATGTGATAACTGGCCAACGGATACGTTGTACGTAAATTTGTCTTGTTAAAAATATTTTCGGTGCCAGCTCATCATCGTCATCGTCGCTGTCGTTGTCATAGGGTTATGTTCGCTAAGCGCCCTCCACCTCACGCCAATCCTCACAGACGAGAGTGACAACGGCGTTTCAGGCGTGCAAAAGCAATTACGTCCTGGTGCCAAGTTCTGAAAATCACCACTCCCTTGGCAAGAGTTCGTGTCGGAAGCCGACTCGTTAGAGAGGCATGCGGATACCGCCCCCATCGAATAGCCTCGAAATTTTTGCCTTAGAAAATATGATTTCGTTCTATTTCTATTCATTCTTTTATCAATGCTTCCGTCAATCGTCTGTTTAATTTTTACGAGGTCCATGCAAAGTTTGAGAAACGCTGGATCGTCACGTCTCCTATATGTGGGTGACAAGAATTTTGACTAAAGAATTAAATACATTAACCCTGAAGGTGAGGTGTTAACGAAAATAAATGTCGATAGTATTGATGAATGATGAAAAGGTTGCGAAAATGAGTTCTACTACAAATGTTAGATTATATCATTTTTCATTGTATTAAAACAAAATTTTAGTCTTGTAGGAATCTTCACGATTATTAGTTTGATATGTACACTCTCCATAAGTTCCGAATATTTCGTGTAAGTGAGCATCGTTGCGTTGTATGCCGAGTAATAGCAAGGTTTACATAACAAAGACCTCTGGTATGTGGCATGATTCTGCTGTGATCTACAAACGGTCAACGTGGGAGGTAATGCATCGTTAACAGCAGAGAACTCGTTTTAATTTGAAAACTATCAAACTAGCCGTGACTTTAGCCAACGTGAACGCGACACTTCGAACCGTTCCACTCAACCGTTGTTAAGACGAACACCACGATTTAGTTCAAATATTAATTGTCGAAAAACGTTTTGTTGATCCAAGACAACGTATCGATGGGATTCTTTCCTCTGGTTTCGTAGTTCATCACTTCATTGGCCTGCTGCCATACTTCCTAATATAGTGCGCGCGCGACGTTCTTCCATGATGCTTTCTTTTTTAATTATTATGAAATGAAATCCAGTTCATATTGTCATATACTGTTTAATTAAAAAAGGAAAAGATAAAAAAAGGACGACACAGTTCTTCGATACTGTTTTTAATTTACGTAAGAAAATAAACGATAATTATATATTACGTATATAAGACTGTAGTCTAATCCATTCTTTATAATAATATTAATCCTTAATGCCTAATTATCCATATAAAGGAAACTATTTAATATCTCTTTGATTCTACAAACTGCATCTGAAAAACCAACTCTAGAAAATTTGAAGTTCTTGTCGAAGTCTCTCTACGATCGTTGGCAAAGAAGTTTCCTGTTAAAAAGCATTATGGTGGACTCGGTTGGTAAATGCAGAAGTACGCATAATTATTATCAGCGGTTCAGATTTCACTATGCAGGGTTGCTGCATATGAAAAATTCAAAGAACAGATAAAGGAGGGAATTTTCGAAAGAACTTGTTCGGTTAAAAATTAACCATGGCACAAATATAGATTTAATACTATTCTACCTAGTACATTCTACCTATCGAATGGGTTATTTCTAAGAAGTATGAATTAACATCATTTAAATTTATGTAGATAAAATATTAAAATTATCTCATACATTTTGAATAATACACAATGCAATATAATTATATTAATGTTTAAGGTTCATTCGTTACAAAAACTGTTTATTTTCTATTTGCTTTCACGAGTGGCATTCAAAAAAATCAACCGCGAAAAATTCGAATTTTTCAGTGATGGCTTTCAACGATGGTCGGTAACAGCAAACAATTAGAATGGTTTCAGTCGATAAACTCGTTCGCGAAATTCGGAAACACGAAGGTTTACGGGTAGATATTGCATGGAACGACTTTAAGCCGACGAAAGGTTTCTAAATAGGTGGCTAGAAAAGTGTGAAAACCGATCTCGCAGGGTCTCGTAGCATCGCATTGCGGAACGCCCGAACTAGAGGGGGGCACGGCTCTCTCGTGGACGATATATATACATATGTATATCTCTCCACATTTATACGATTATGTATACATATATATTTATGTCAGCAAGGTAGTGTGCTCGCGGATCGTGCGTGCAGAAGCGCTTAAATATTAATCACGTTACGAATGTTTTTGACCGAGTGACGCGCGCTTGCTAGACGGGACCGATTATCGAGATGCCACGGATGTATGAGCGTAGCGAAAATGGAAGTCCGTGCTAAATACGGACCGCGCAACTTGCAAATAAGCAGCACCGATGGACGCGGCCATGTTTTCTGGTAGCAGAAATCTTACCCATTAATAATTCGTTAATCGTCGACCACGAAGTGGAGCGTGCAGAATGCCGAAATGCGATGTGAGGGCGAGATATCTACCAGCCACGTTCGCCTGGACGGTCTTACTCAGCACCACGACACTGTTCTTCTGTTTTCCGTAAGTTCCTCACGCACGTCTGTCTACCTCTCGTGAGAGGCCGCAACGGTTTGCTCTCCTGTTTTCATTCTCTAGACTTTGCTCCAGTTTAATCACGCCACGCGTTTTACCATGTCAATTCGCTTTCTATCCTTTAGATGCCAGTATTATGTGTTCCAATGGGGAACGTGGGTACCTGCGCTTCAAGGAGTCATCACCTTTTTCGTATTGGCAAACTTTACGCTAGCAACCTTCATGGATCCAGGCGTCATACCAAAAGGTATGTCAGTATGTAAAACCACTGTATTGTCCAACACGTATGCTAAGTTTCAAATTCAAATTCAAATTGTTTATTATAGCCTGATTTGGCTATCTATACCTTTCTTGTACATCAGTTAGCCTTTACATTGTTTCTTACATTCCATTTTTTTACACGTCTTATATTCCACTTCTCTACATGTCCCATGCTCCATTTCCTTACATGTCTTCCATTTCATTTTTCTATATATCTATCGGGGACTGCATGCCCTCCTATAGCTGGGGCATCTCGGGTTTGCTATATCCATACTGTAGCTGCAGTCACTCCCCCATGCTACAGTCCCTGAGGAGATGTTTTAAATTTCATTTATGAAAGAGATAAATTTTCTTTTAAAGCGACTTCCGACGAAGATCGAGACGACGATTTTCGTGCTCCCTTGTATAAAAGCGTAGAAATCAATGGTATTACGGTTCGCATGAAATGGTGCGTTACATGCAAGTTCTACAGACCTCCTCGTTGTTCGCATTGCAGCGTTTGTAATCAATGCATTGAGGTTTGTAATTGATGTAATTTTGATATTGTGATGTCAGAAATTTTAATGTTCTTTATTATTTTCAGACTTTCGATCATCACTGCCCTTGGGTGAACAACTGCATCGGTAGGAGGAACTACAGATTCTTTTTTTTCTTTCTCTTGTCACTCAGTTTCCACATGCTCAGTATATTCGGACTTTGCCTGTATTTTGTATTGGAGCGCAAACAACGGCTGGGTGAAGTGGACACAATTGTCGCGTATCCTTCTAAATTAATCATATCGTGCAAATACTCTGATATTGATACATTACAATTTGCATTGTATAATCCTTAAATTTTTAAATAGACTCGTACTCATGGGTGTGGTTATACTCTTGTTCATTCCAATTTTTGGACTGACCGTCTTTCACGCAATACTTGTTTGCAGAGGACGTACAACAAATGAACAGGTAACGGGTAAATTTAACGGCGGCTACAATCCTTTTTCCCGTGGTTGCTTTCACAATTGCTGTTATACGCAATTTGGACCACAATACCCCAGGTAATACGACAACTAATCGTAATGTGTAAGTGGAAGTCAAATGGAGTCAATAAACAATCGAGACATTTCTACCGTTTCAGTTTTATTAAGCCTGAAAAGTATTCAGGGAAACGACGCGGAGCTTGTACATCTGAGATATCGACTATAGGCAGTGAGAACCAGGTAAAAACCTACATGGATAGCAGCAATGGTGTTAGAAATGCCAGTTCAAATGCTTACAATAAGGTAAGAGCTAGTGCAACTTTGCTTGATACTTCTGACACTACGTATGAGAAGATTTTACAACTGTAAATAGCACTTCCTCTCTAGCATGGGATTTGTATACTTCTTCTATGTTCATCTACCAGCTGTATGTAGCGGTGCAATTCACTTGGCTTCCAAACTTCCTTTCCTGTGCCTAGAAGCTTTATTATAATATCTATATATATCATAAATTGCAAGTTGTAGTGCATTCTAGTGTATTTAGACGACATTTCTTGCACGGTTTAACTATCTTCACGCCTCTATTTATTAATTTTAAGTTTATTTATGTAGAGTACAATATCAAGCAGTGATTCCTCTTATCTGTAATACCCCATTCGGAATGCTGGAGAGATGCGGTCACCGCCTGTTTAGTTCCCTGTCCCTTATTCATCCTGGTTAAACGTCAGTATCCCTAAGAAATATGTGTAATATATGTCAGTGTTTTTTAAACTATGATCCACAGACTCTTAGGTATGTGCAAACATGCTAGGAGGGTGCGTTTTATTCTTATTAAAATCATCCGTTAAGAAGGTTTCTATCATCAGAAACAACATAAGAACATCAAAAGAGAAGGTGGAAACTACAGTGTGCACAACATCACATTTAGGTCCTCCTTCCAACTCACAATTAATATATTTAAAACTTTCAAAATTGCGAAGTGTTGAATTGCTTCGAATACTATTCGATATTAGAAATTTAAAAAAAAACGGTAATGTGTTTTCCTGATTAATTTTACAGATAAAATCGGACTTGCCTGTATAATAATCTGATCAGGAGACGCGGTAGTGTCTCCGTCCAAGTTCAAACGCTACCAAGTATCGTATTGTATACTAAGGAGTCTGCAAGACGAAGTTTGTGAAACGCTGACATATCATAATAGAATTATAACAATTAACAAACATATATTAAAGGATCGTAACAACGTAAATAATATCATGTATCGTTATTGTTTTCAGTTGTCTCCTGGACGAGATGGATCTGATACAGACATGGAACCCACCGCGTCTCAGTCCGCGGATTGCGAACCCACACCTCCGCTACAAAGACATGGTTCCAAAAGCAATTTCTTCCTGCCACCTGTGGAGAACAGTGAATCTCCCAGGCACCCACCACCGTCGCAACACCGCCATCCAATACCATACACCAGAGGCAGCCCTCATCCAAGGCCAAGGTAATAAAAACAACAACAGCAAATGGTGTTACGTTTGCTAATGTCTTTTCTAATACACGTAAGGTACGTTGTCACTACCTATAGGGGTATGAACGACTCACGAAGCCACACGCCCGACCCTTTATCACCGGAAGTGAGCAACTCGGCCGTCACAGCTTCCCAAAGAGGTCAAGGTCAAGGGGGTGCTAGTCCAACAACACAACGGATTAAAGCTATTGGGGTACCGACTCCACTTGCCATTTCCAGTCCTATGCGCAGGTACACTATGCTCTTCATTTTAACAAAAGTATTTAAACAAATTGTAACGAATATGATGAACGTAACGTACAGTGTTCAACATAAATATCGGTGCAGAGCGATTTTTGGAATAAAGCTAGTCGTAGATGTGATAGAAATAATTGAAAACTTTTTTTATGTTAAAGTAATTATTGGCAGGCGCTATAAAATAATTACAATAGGCTGTATGACGATAAAATAAGCGCTGACAATACCGAGTATAGTCGGCGCTAGAATCCACAGCTCGTCACGTGAATGCCGACTATATTTGGCGTTAGTACTGAAAAGGATAAACATGCAATGGTCCTTTTACGTCTACAACTGGTTTTATTTAGAGTACTGTGTCAATACTTATGTTCGACACTATATCTCGAGAAAAGGTTTGCAAGTATAGTAAAATTGTACAATTCTTACGTGATAAGAAAAAAGTTAACGAGATATTCCGTGAACACTTGAAACACCTTTTCGGAGTATTGAATTTCTTAGATGTACTACTTCCTTTATTTTTCTTTTTGTAATTGTATCCCGCGGCATTTTTTTTATGATGCACAAAATATTTGTTTCGACGTAGAGAGCAAGAGGGAAGCGCCACACTAGTAACTAGTTACATTGCATTTATCGAGCACGCTGCCAATACGAAGTGAACTTGTCAATCTCCTTTATTCAATATTCCTGTTTGCTACCTCTCGATATGATGTGAAGCCTGTTTACTTCGGACTCCCTGTATCCCTCACTACGAACACGTCACTCTTGCTCTTATTCTTTTCTTCCTGTTACTCTCACCACTATATATCTATCTCACCTTCCGAATGACGAAGGAACATATGACAGAAAATGTAAAAAAAATGAGAAAGAAACCGTTGCGCGACGTAGATCACTATTAATATCGTAGAGAATTAGTTTCTCTGCATGTATATATTACGAGATATGTGGTATATAGATAAGTTTGTGTCCCACTGCAGGGGGTGGTAACTGCAAGGAGCTGCTTTCTACCATCATGTTGCAACCTACTGCAGGTAAACACGAACTTCATCCTACGAGGACATATCGTAGTTTAAAGTTACGCTTTCTTGCATACATTACATAAATACATGTGTATATATATATATATGTCTATAATATATATATATATATATATAAAGGAGAAGCATACATACTCAAATCTATATATATTTATATGTATATATATGTATATTTATATACACATATATACATATATTGACACATGTATCAGTCGTCCAACACGCAAGTATAAACGTCCACATATGTATTTCCTAGGTTTCGCTATACCTTTTTACGTTTTCTTGGATAGATGCTAATTTTATAATAGGAATGATGCGCTGTTCTCTCTCTCTCCTGTATGTCTCGCCAAAGCCGTATTTGTATGGCTACTATGCTCAAGCACTTGCATATATATACGTATATACAGGATGCGAGAAAAGTTTGGAATGTTTTTTTATGTTGAATATCTTCCAAATAAACTTTCTTTTGTATATATGTTTATTAGTTGTTGGATTTGTTATGCTTTTGATTTGTTGGATAATTATCCGTCTGATGGTATATGCAGTGTATGCAATTTTGTTTTATTTTTAAATGTCAGCTAGTCGCAAAGAAGTTTATATCTTTGTTATTTTCTTACATTTACGCAATTGACATCAAATGTTATTGCATGAGCGTGGTGCTCAATTCCACATATGAATCCAATTTTCTTATGAAAAATTTTTCGATATTCAGCACATCCAGAGAAATATTACTCGTTTCCCATTTCAGAAATAGTAATTGTCTTCATATTAAAATATTCTTAGTTGGTTTCTTAATAACGTTACTAAAATTAATACGTTTATATTTTTATTCTCTAGAAGATCGTAGATAAACGATATAGGATTCCATTTTAAATATGACAATCAGAGAAATTTCTTTTTTATTACTATGTTTGTCTTTGTGAATAGTTTACTGCGCTTTAAACAGTTTTTTTAGAGATAATCCCCTACTCCATATCTGAAGTATCGGTGGCATGTATGTACGTACGAATGTATGTTGATCTCTAGTTTGCTTTACATCTCAGATATGATTTATTAGAAAATCATGAAATTTGGTGTGGTGAGTTCTATATGTCCAGGCTTTGATGCCATTAAATTTTTGACAACATTCTGTATATATGGATGTGTATGTTTGTGCGAATACACGTATGTGCGTATGTTGACCTTATTTTGCTTTGTACCTCTGGTTTTTCCAAAAATCATGAAAGTTGGTTTGATATATTGTATACATGAAGCACCAATGTCATTAAATTTTTGGAAAAACATGAATCTAGAAATACCGAAGGTGTCATATTTAGTTTTGTAACATAAAGTTACATCGATAGGCGGCGTTACCAGAAAAGTTATGCAACAATGTTGCTAGCTTTCTCTAACGTTATCATCTTTATTGTTGCGTTTACGAACTTGGATACAAAATCCTCTTTCGAGAACCTTCCAAACATTTATCGTAGCCTGTATATTCATCTTGGTTCACTGTACCATGCATTATGTCAGTTATTGAAAAATTTCAAAGCTGGGATCGTGTGAAAGCTCGATTACTACTAACGACCTGTCTCTTGTTGCAGATCGAATCCAGGTACGCCGACGCAGGTCCGTCGGCCCGATTTTATAGGAGTGAACGACGCGCCGACTTACTACGATGTACAGCAGGGAAATAACCACGGTGTCGGCGCTGCTAGCGGCGCCGTAATCACCGGTTACAGCCCTCAGCGGCGTTTCCTGTCGGAAAGCGAGCTGATACGACAGGGTGTCGACCAGTCGTATTCGAGAACGAACAACACTGTTGACAACATTCGCGAGCTGGCCGGCTCGCCGCAGCGTGGCGTCTACATGTGGAAGGACAACTCGCCAGGCAGCTACCCCGTCCCCCCAGGGCAGACTAACGCCACGACGCACCAGTCGCCTTCGCAGAGACCACCGCCGTACGACTACTACCGTTCCAATCCCACTAGTCCTACGCAACAGTTGTACGCGAATTCGCCTAGGCCAGCGTATCATCCGGCCATGAGAGGCGGCGTAGCGGTCTTCCCACCTCATCAGTCGCCCCAAGTGAAACGAAAAGCCGCAATGGTGACGCCTACCACGCCTACGTCGGGCGACGCTCGACGCAGACCCATGTCCTTTGTCAGAGCACTCGAGATGACAGACTCCATGGAGATGGTGTCTGCGCCAAACGACAATAGATTGCAGCGGCCCACCACACCCACGCCGGATCGGACCAGTGTCTACGACATGAACTATGAGATATCCGTATAGCCCAGCTTTACGGTCTCCGCGCCATCCTGCGGCTGGACGGAGATTGTACAAGAAATGCCGACACTACGCATCTCCCGCTCCAACGAGGAAAGAACAGCGTACGCCGCTTACGAGATATCCGTCTGAATTCGTGTACGATCGACGGTACAAACAAGGGGTGTCGCATTTAAATCGTTCCTCTCGAACGTCTCTTAGAACTAAATGTTATGCGAACGGGAAAGTAAACTCTTCCTCTATCTTCTGCAAATATGTTTAGTGTAAAGGGTTCGAAAGTTTTCTCATGTATCCGTCTCATTTTCATTTGCTAAGTTTCTTCTCATGTATCTATCTCATTTTCACGTGCTAAGTTTCTTTTCAAACAAGAATTAAATGGTTTTGAAAGGGAACGTACTTCGATGCGTGTTCTTTCTTAGGTGAAGACGTACAGAAAATGCAAAGATCAACTTCTTTTTTTTATGAATAGAATTACTAGTATTTTTGGGTGGAATTCGATATAATAATGAATTCTAGGAATAAAAGTAATAGTGTATTTGTATCTCCTTTACATGTCCACCTAGGAAAAGCTACTCGCATCAAATTGTATCTCCCTTCAAAATCATTTGACTTTCGTTTAAAACATTTGCCAGTGTTGTCAACAGTTTTGGAGACATTCATGGGGAACGATTGAAATAGGATACTCTGTACAGTGACTTCGGAGAAACTGCGGGGTGTTGAGATAATAGCGCCCTCGACTGCAGAGTGTCAGCAATTCAGGACCGATTTTGGGGGGTTTTCTTTTGAGTGCTGGAACTGTAAAGACCTGGCCACCTCACGGTGGAATGGTCATGCGAGTGTTAAAAACAGAAAGACATACTACTGCACACTCTACAGAATCATTTTTTAAGAAAAACATTTATCCTTAAACAGAACAGAGTTCCGTGACAGAAAAACAGAAATGAACCTAACCTAGATCCAATACGTACGGTCCTGTAGCGAATAGAGTGCCACTCCGCTGAGAAAAACCTATGAGGTCAACCCTCTTGAAACTGAGCGAATAAGATCATCATATTTGTACCGTCGACTATACGACGCTTCAAACCTGAGCGTTCCGATGCAGCTAGACGTTCCACGTCGAAACGATACTAATCCGGCTGTGGTATCGTCGAGTTCTTCCGGTCCAAATGCTGATCCACGTTATACATATATATCCAGGGTGTGCTAATACTGATGGTTTATCAAAGTGTACATATAGTATTCATACAAGGAAACAAAGAAGTATTAGTGAATATAGGTCTAGAAGTCAACAATCTTCAAGTTAAGAAGAAGAATTCAATTTCGTCTAACGTTAGTCACCCTAAAACATCGTTCACCTTCACAATCAAGACCATAAGAAGCTTCTTATATGAGTTACTTGGTCGCTCAGTCCCTCCATGTCAGTTGGTTCCTTCGATTCGTCTCTTCCAGAGATGAATGAACATAAAGGAAAATAGATAACTTATTTTTTATTAGTTTTATGAGTGCTATACGAGTTGCAAAGCAAAGACACTTGGAAGATCTACCGATACGAAATACAATCTGTTCTAACTCATAAATTGTTGATTCCCAGACTCACGTTTACTAACGCTTATTTTTCTTATTTCCATGAGTACTATATGTATCCAAAACTTGCTCCACTAGTTTTGAAACACCCTGTACTCTGTAAAGATCACGTTAAACGATGCTGACGTTTCCCCGAAGGGGAGGACATCGACGTGTAAAAGTTGTTTGTCCTCGTTATAGACAATGATATGTTCGAATGTATCCAATGTGGAATTGTAAACGATAGGTGATCGTCCGCGGGCAAACCGGGATATCAGTGTCCAATTATTTTCCATAGCGAGTCGCTGACACGGAAAATATATTTAGGTCTTGATTCGCGTTGAACGAGTGGAAAACGGGAACGTGTAGTTTTCAGTTCAACGCCGAGTCTGTCGTCGGCGCAAGACTGTCGTGTCATGTTATTAGGAATATTATTTCGTTTAGACGGTATTTAAAAAGAGAAACGTTCGATTCGGTGTGCATCTGGCTCAGAAAAGTTGTGATGCCATATTCGCGTTACGACAGCTTTCACCAGCGGAGAAATGACCAACCGCTGGTGCTAATATCATACGTCGCGCGTACGTAAAATGGATGCGCAGGAGAGTATTCGCCGTCGACTGCTATGAAATTGAATGTGATCAAATTATTTGAACAGTCTACAAATGATGAATACTTTGTTAATTTGAATTCCATTCCAACTTAAACGTAACAAAATTAAAATTAGTACACAGGTAGTCAGTGCGAGGATTATTATTTAGAATAATATTATTATTTGTTATTAATTGTTACTTATTATAATTATATTTTATAATGATGTTATTCTAAATATTATTCAATCCTTACTTTGATCAAATCACGTCTAATGCCGCTATCAACGAGAATAGTGTCTTCTGCGCATTTACTCTGAGAATCCCTTACTATGGTGTTACTCCTGTGACATCACAACTGTTTCGTTTCCTGATGCACACGAGATAAAACGTGTCCACGTATCAGAGATGGGCAAAGTTTTATTCGGATAATAGTTGACCAATTGAAACAATGTATAGTGATTGAGCAGTTACTGTAACAAATTTTTCTTCGTTCGACACGATATACATAATTCTATTCAGCAACGAATAAAGTTCTTAATCTTTTATTCATTATTCGGGATTTTTATGTAAGTAAGGAATTTTGCCCATTTCCGTTAGCTCAATTCAAACGAAGCATGTTTCCCTGTATAATTCCTTGCAAACCAGGTTGTGTACTCTCAGGCATGGTTTTTACTGAACAAAACTGTTATAAATCACATGGGACATTGGAGATATCTAAAACATATTGCATGGGAATAATACCATGAAAATCATGCACGGAAGTATTGCATGGACCTGCGTGGAATCCTGCTTGAAAACATGCTACATGTAGAACAGGCTTTCTGTATCTCTGAGGGGGGTGGCGAGGGGTAATAGAGACGTTCGGACCGATTGACGACCGAAGTAATCGAGTCACGAAATCGTCAACGAAAGTAAAACCGAACGCGTAGAGGTACAATCGCTGAGCAGCACTCTTGCTGCCGATGATTATAAAGAATCGAGCTTGTCTCGCTTGGCGGTAAAACAATTATATTTTTTAGTACACAGTAAGGTCAGTTTAGATTTTTATACCGTGACGTCGTGACTCAATTTCTAGAAGCGCAGCATATCGGTTCATTGTACCGTTTCCTTTCGTTCTTTTTTCTCTTTTCTTTCGCTCTTTATAAAAACGCATTATTTGACGTGTAACAAAGTACATAGCGATTATTCTTGCGTGAATTTCGCGACTCGATTCTGATCGCAACGGCGGTTCCGTCTTCTTTCGATTCTTTTTTTATATCTTTTTTTTTTTTGTAGAAGGAAAGGAGCGAACCGACAGGATCAAAATCGAGTCTCGCCATTGGGTATACATAGTCTCCTATCTTCGTTGATGCGAGAAGAGTTCGTGTCCAGTTAACAAACCACAACAAAAAAAAAAGAAGTTACTTAATCGATTTAAGTCATTATCAGGATAGAATAACGAATTCTGTGTAAAATAATCGTGAAATGTGTAGCAAATTTTTAATATACATATATATTTAACAATATTTATACATAAATAATAAATATAAGACTTTACAATGATTTCATTTGTTTGTTATGAATGATGATTTTATCGATGTGACCACTAATAATGATCGATTGATTTATACAAGTAAAACAAGAAACGTATAGTTATGAGGAATACACGTGAGTGAAAGAGACAGAGAGAGAAAGAGAAATATGAGTGTATGTATGCGACTGTGAAAAGGAAGAAGCGAGTGAATGCGATGGATGTATACCATGAGAATTCTTAGAGTATTAGACGAAGTGACAAAAAAAAACAGACCAGTGTTTCAAATGTTTACAGTGACGAATGACTCACTCCGTAATAGAAGAGAAATAAAATGAAAAAAAAACATATACGAGAACAATGGACTTTGTTTAAAAAAACCAATAATTAAAGAAAATGGGGGAATACAATTTTGTAACATATACATTGCATAAAATTATTGGTATATCTACCGCTACTGTTAAGTTTGTAATATACCCCGCTTTTAAAAAAGAATTGCATGTCGGTTTCTGTATTATGTATTTGTATGCGAGACCAATATTACCAATTTATGCAGGCTTAATGAATAATTGCGTAAGGTAATCGTAAAATAATTGCGTGCCCATTTTACCTTGCGACGAATCGATAATCGAATTATTATTGTTAAATAGCACACATATCGTTCAGCTAGAGAAGGGCTTTATCGAACATCGAATATTTCCCAAGCAAAAAAAAAAAAGAAGGAAGCATTTTTTTCAACAGATATTTCGTAAACAAAAAAGCGACACGTCGTTGCTAACCGTTAGAAATATTTCTTCCAAACGCTGTCTTTTTATCCTATATTTTGTTCGGTTACACGTATTCGTTTTCTTCTTTTTGTAACGAGCTGTGCCAAAACAGGGAAACATACAATTTTCCATATTCCACTCCGATCTTGTAGTTTTACATAAAAACAGAGTACTTGGACAAAATGAAACAAAGGACTGGTACAACATTCAAATGAATTGGTTTAGATGAATTATGCGTAAGGTGTGACGAATGTTTAGTGTTTATAATTCGGTGTACTTGTACATAAATATTGCTCGTTATTATTACTTAAATGTACATACATATACATTTCGGTACTTAAGTATCGCTGCAGCAATCTACAGAAATAAAACTCATTAAATACAAGTCGATTGTATTCTAATTGCACCGTTCTACTTATTCGAATCTATTAGAAACAGTTTCACGTTGAAGAACTTTTAAATTAACGTTGGTAAATCTTATTCGTTGGCAATGTTTCAAAAAGCGCGGCACTTTGGAGCGTTCCTAAAACAAATCAAAACCAGCCTTACCAGTTCCACAGTGTTACGAAAAATTATTGGGTGCTTTCCTTTGACTATATAGATACCTACGACCATATATGCTTATAGACACGGCTTCAGATAAATGCTTTGAAGCAAAGATAAAATCATCTATGTGACGTCACATGAAGGCAAAGTAACGATGGAACTTTATCGTTGAGTTTGTAGTAAAGTGAAGTGTATATATTTTGCTTTATTAATTGTTAATTTTAATTCTTATAATTTTAAATAATGCTTATCATAACGTATTTTGAAAATTGTAATTTTAGAATAGTTATTTATTTATAATTATTGGTTACAAAATAAAATAGTTTTGAATAATCTAGAAATATTATCTTGTGACGTCACATGAGAGAATCTTTTCCCGGTATAGGCGTCTAGCGACGACGACCGAACTAATTTTTCACATATATTCACATTTTTTATTCTTTTCTGTATATTTATATAACTATTAATTGTTGATTTATACACTAATAATTGACGATATTAGGCTTAAAAAAAATATAGAAATACCGAAAAATGTGGCGACATCTCTCGGTGAACCGTCCAAGTTTGTCGTGAAAGAGTTTCCATCTTAAGCTGCTAGATGTCGTTACTGAAATTATTGTGGCGCCATCTCTCAGTGAATCGCCCAAGTTTGTCGTGAAACAGTTTCCATCTCAGGCTGTTAGATGTCGCCACCGATATGAAATTATTCAAAACATAAATTCTCTACTTTTCTTTGCATATAAATGTAATTTTACATTCTAATTATCATAGTTCAACTAATAAGCGTCGAATAGTACACAAATAATTGTCTAATGGCTAGTTTTTTAAATAAATAAAAGTACCGAGAATCGACTGGGTCTCGTAGCCCCCTAGTGGCATTAGAGGAAAGGATCGTTGGAACTCATCGCGCACGATTCTTCTTTGTCTCTGTTTAACGTATGGATGACTCGATTTGCTGTCCTCGTCGCGTGAAAGCTGACGTTCCGTGAAATTTCAAGGAGCACGTCGACCAATCGCGAGTGCCGACGACGAAATTTACGCACAGAAATATTACTGACGTGTCCACGAAAAGAAGACTACTTCGAGAGTTCATGATTATTCTCATTTTACACAAGAGGAAAACAATAGTGTTCGACGGATCGTGGTGTTAATTGAAACGCGAATTGCAAGAAAAAGCAACGAAATCATGGCGACGATGTTTAATACCTTCGTGAATTCTTTCACCAACAGACTGTGAGTATTTGCCGTCATTGGAACGATTTTATTGGAAATTCTCGTTTAAACAATTATACATAACGGTTACGTTGATACGTTTTACTTTCGTTGCAAATATAACTATCGGTAGTTTTAATCTTTATCTTCACTCTGTTTTTCAAAATGTTAATGATCGCGGTGATGTAACTCGTGTAGCGTTATAGTAACGTTTCCTTTCGTAAAATGGTTAAATTTTTCGTGCACGGTGCCGTTTTGAATAATATTAATTATCGTGATATGCATCTTTCCTTATCTACGTTGTTGGTATCGTGCATGACCTTCAGTCGTCTATGTAGACTCCAGAACTTTCACAACTTTATGAAACTGAATATTTGATGTAGGAAACTTTTCTTTTGCGTACGAACATAGTCGCTATGACGTGGGTCACGTATCCATTGAACGTGATCCACGGTTTTGATACTCGCGTAAACGGTGACCTAACAATTTCCCAAATTATTTTTCGACCATCTATGCAGGAACGTAGCCACCCTATAACAAAAGTAAGGCAGAGACTGGGGGCTCTCGGTGAATTATTAGAAGCTCAATTTCGCTAGGGCCCGTAAATTAGTGCAATTAGGGGCTATAATAGACCTCTGCTATGCTAGGGTCTACTATAGACCAGAGGTGGGCAAAATAGTTCTTTATGTAAACATTTCAAATAATAAATAAAAGAAAAGCAACTCTCTATTATGTCACTACTTGAACGAACAGACGCTATCTAATTGGAACAAACATTATCAACAAAATTTATGTCCATCTCTGCTACAATAAATTTAATAGTAATTAATAAATTCAAGAATTCTAGTATAGTTCTTTGCTTCTGAATTTGATTTAATTGGTATAATATTGTAATATTAATTTTATGTTGGTCAAATTATAAATAAATCTTAAGTACATATTTATTTCATTCAAATTGAAATTCAGATAATAAAATTGAGGGATATAAAATGATTTGACTAAGGGACCAAAAAACTATGCTACACCACTGTTTCCATGCCTCCTTCTTCTTGTTTCATTTTCAATTGTTAAACTTTGCTTTTATGCTGATTTAGTTGGTTTTGTAAGATATTTCTGTACTTGTATAATAAAATGACATAGGTCAGGTGTTTTCGTTTACAAGATATTATTGTTTAACACACTTCCACTGAAATACAACAATTGCTTCAGCTGCATTATGGACACAATTGCTTAAACACAATGTGTGTGCGTCAGTAGCAGCAAATGTATTAAAAAGGTTTAAATACATCAATCCTTTTAGCATGGTATAGATATATGTTTTCCTTGGTTTTGCATATTTTATATTGGTACAATCAAAGTAAAGAATAATTAAAAAATCGAACAAAAAATTAATAATTTACAGCATCTTCAATTCATCAAGTATTAACGCTGTAGTGCAAATAATTGCAAAAACTTTACACGCTAGAGGCAGTATCACAATGGTTTCAAGCAGTGATAATCAAGTAGAATAAAACGCTATCAGCGCTATCGTACGTCGAATTCTTTTTATTGTTGAGAGATTTTCTAGATATATATGATATATATTAATAGATTATATATTTTTTTCAATAGATTTAACATTCTTTTTTGCTTCCAATATTTTGATAAATGTACAGATATGTGCCAGTGTCCCTGAAGAAGTTGATACATAAACTTTTTTAGAATGTGATTTATGTTGTTTTCCTTCGCAACAACGGACGATAAATTTTCACTCAGTTACGATAGCAGTTCGTTTGCACAGTAGATAACAATTGGTTTCCCTGATTTCAGTGAATTACCGGTCAGGCAGCATCTTAAAAATGTGTATGCCTGCTTGTCTATGTCAACAATATCGGCTGCAGCAGGAGCTTATGTCCACCTGTACACAGAGCTCCTGCAGGCCAATTTATTGACGACTCTCGGCACATTTGGTTTACTTCTCGGTTTAATCAGCACACCAGACAACGGAAAGAATCAAAAATTACGACTTGGCTACCTGTTGGGATTTGCATTCTTGTCTGGACTTGGATTAGGTCCATTGTTTCAAATGATCATCGCCATCAATCCTAGCATCATAGTAACCGCATTAATGGGTAAGACACGGCACAGTTTAACGCTTAAAATGTTTACCATCTATTATTTATTTACGATAATTTAGCTTTACTTATTTTTGAAACGTGTAAATGATCATCGATTGTTCGTCCATTTGAGGATATTTTTTTTTATTATCGTTTTATGTAACGCAATGTTATCAATTTTCAGGAACGACTGTCGTATTTGTATCATTCAGTATCTCGTCGCTTCTGGCTGAACGAGGTCGTTGGTTGTACCTCGGCGGTATCTTGATTAGCTTGCTAAATATTATGGTTCTGTTCTCATTCCTCAACCTCTTCCTACGTTGGTCTTTGTTCCATCAAACCCATTTATACGGTGGACTATTCTTGATGTGTGGTTTCGTGATTTACGATACTCAGTTGATCGTCGAAAAATTCCACGCAGGTAGCAAAGATTTCATTTTGCACTCTCTAGATCTCTTCATCGACTTCATCGGTATTTTCCGTCATCTTCTCATCATCCTTACGCAGAAGGTAAGAATAATTTAACGAACGTATGGTACATTATCTTAGATTGATTGACTTTATGATTTGTATCTTGTTTTTTTATAGGAGTTATCAACAGATAATCAACGTAATAAACGCAAAGAGTAAAATGGGAGCGAAGAGAAGATGTAAAATATCATACCATTCAAGTAAATCCATGAACTAGAGGTCTTCATTTAATCTATCCATATGTAAGGCATATATATTTACTACGGTATAAATGAATTAAAATAATTACAGCTTAACGATCATCTCGAGGGAATTTTAGGCACGCGTTGGCCCTAAAGACGCAATGTATTTATTTTGGATTACTTAGTTCGTTATTTTTTTTTCTTCTTTCAATTATCTATTTACCTACTAGATTTATATACATGTATACATACATAGACATAAATTTATTGTACTATATTTTTATCTTTCAATAAACAAAATTTCCCAGCGTCCCTGGGTATTCTTAATCGAGCAAAAATAATTTCAAAGGTGAGGTTACTAAGGCTATATTTTATACAGGGCTAAAGTCTTATTTATTAAAATGTAACTTTACACATATGATTATCATCATTTACATGTGTATAGAAAACACAAAAAGTTACGCGTTCACGCATCGATCTTCATGAATATAAAAAATGTACGTGAGAAACAAATCGATGACAATGGAGTTCGTAACAGACGGACCTCTGTGTTACGAATAATGTACATACATCGAAACTGTGTACAAAATGTGTACAGTCAATGAGTGATTTTTACCAATCACTGTTTGAATGTGTTTAATACGGACGTTGGCGATCCCTGTCTCTGTCTCCTCGGCTGAAATGAACAACATACGAAATAAATCATTCGCCCCCTCCTTTTCTATGAACGTGGGAACAGGAAACTATTATACGAATGAAAGTTCGATCGTTTTGATCTAAGGTTGAAAATTAATTATAGCAACTAACCCGCCGCCTCCTCTCATGGGCCCGCCTCGACCTCCTCGTCCACCCCTGTCTCCGCCACGGAATCCGCCTCTGCCACCCCTGTCGCCTCCGCGACCACCTCTGTCACTCCTGAAGCCTCCTCGCCCACCTCGATCACCACCGCGGTTGCCTCGTCCACCACCGCCGCCGCCTCCACCACCACCGCCACCAGCACCATCTGGTTTCAGACTTTTACAGAGATTGCATTGATCTCTCCAGGCGAAGTTCGTGTTACCACATTCGGGATTAGGACACCTACACGAATATAGCAAACATCATTTTTAAATGGTAGTGAAAAAACGATTCATGAAGATATGAATCAC